TCAAAAAAATTTGCAGAAAATATCCTCATTCCTTGTGGATTCAATCCCTAAGTACTACAATCGATTAGCTGTGCACTTTCGGCTTTAATTGATTCTTTTAGGTTAAAACTTGCTGCCCACACCACACGCACATCAACGAGAAGCGGGAGCAATAAAACAAAAAAATATATATCTTGAGACTGATACAATCGGTGTCTCCATTTTCTCACTTTCTCTCTCTCAATCAACCCTAATTTTTCAGGACTAACTTAAAAATATACTAAAAAGAAGATGGCATGATTAGCCCATTTACAACATAATATCCTCATGTGTGAAGTAAACCAATGTGATTAAACCACTTACCGATCTTTAATATCCTTTACCCAGATCCGAGACACTTGAACCTTATTGTATTGACTTGGTTACAAAGTAGTCATTTCGTCGGAGTAGTTGTATCGCTGAAGTCGAGAAAACCGTTGGACAAAAAGAGTTGTTGACACTCAAATCGCCATAGCATCCCTAAATCGCCATTGCAAGCCAAATAATGACTTTCTGGTCCAACATGTATTTGATGCTCTTTTGATCGGTCTTGATAATGAAATGACAGTGCTCCATGTAAGCATTCCAGGTGTGAACAGCGTGAACCACTGCGAGAAGCTCTTTAACATAAACTAACAAAGCCTGGTGGTGAGGGCCTGGTGCACGGCTGATGTAACACATTGGGTGGTGCTCCTACATCTAAACTGCCCTAATACTAGTATTATAAGCGGTTAACTCAATCACAAAGGTCTTCGTAAAGTCAGGTAAGGCCAGTGTTGGAGAAGAAGTAAGAGCAACCTTCAACTTATCAAAGGCGAGTTGAGATTTAGGGCTCCACAAGAAGTCATCCTTTTTCAACAAGCTGGTGAGTGGCCGTGTGGTGACACTGTACCCTCTAATGAACCTCCATAATAGTTTGCGAGCTCCAAGAAACTACGGAATTTCATGCTACTGTGAGTTAGATGCAGGTCATTTTTCAATGACTTCAATCTTGCGAAGATCAGTGCTGACTTCCTCTGCAGAGATGAAATGACCAAAGTATTCAATGATAGTCGCTTCAAAGGTACATTTAGAAGGTTTCAGGGATAGCTGTTGCTGACGAAGAATCTCAAATATGGTTGTGAGGTGTTAGAGGTGGAAATCCCAGGAATGGCTATAAATTAATATATCGTGAAAGAACACCAAGAAAAACTTCTGGGAAATGTCTTGAAACACATGATTCAACAGGTCTTGAGTAAGGCTCCTCACAGAACATGCATAACCCCTTCGACCTCCTATCATGCATTTCCTCATAAGTGAACTTTCTTGGACCTTTACCCATGTTCTGTTTTGTAGGAAACAGAGATCTGAGTGCCAGCTGGTTGTTAGAGTCTTGTGAAGGAAGCAGAGGAGTTAGTTTGTGTTGGGCGTTGTGTGAGCTGACTGGTTTGCCTCTGAAAAGGACTGAAGGGAGCTCTACTCTGTTTAATCGGAGTATGGAGGAGTGAAGATTCATGGAGCTTAGCTATCCGGGCTGCAGCTGTCACTGTCTTAACCTCAAGCTGTCTGGTATGGTAGGATAGATGGGGGCTCATGTTGGAAAAAAAATATGCTGAGAGCATGACTTGCCAGTATAGTTATTCTGGTCCTGAGTATCTCAAAATTTCTCGAATAGGTCTCTACAACCTTGTTGGTTTGCTTCAGGCTCACGAGCTCGGATAAAGGCTCGTTAAACAACTCACTAAACTTTAAAAAAATTACAAGCACATAATCGGACGAATGCATGATCCCATATATCTCGGCTAAGAATTGTGGTGCCATTCTAAGATCGTGCCTGACAAGTAAAGAGCCACTAGACGTACCTTAAGATCAGCCGGTGTTCTATCTAGATCAAAAAAATGATTGAATAGATAGATCCACCCTCGCAGATCAGTACCATCAAAGCTGCGAAAGCATACCTTGGTCAGCTGAGAAGAAAGACAATTAGGTAGCAAAGGTGAACTCTCAGTGCCCTGAACCTTTCTGGTCATACTCTGATCTATCCCACTCAAACCCATAGGATCTGGTGACTGGATCATCCTTTGAGACAGAACTACAACTGGAGGCAACAAGTTGTTTCTGGGTAAGTTCTGCTCAATCTCACTCAGATCTGGAGGATCTGGTAACTGGAACATTCTATGTGAATGGACTCCACCTGGAGGTGATGAGCTAGAGCACTGGTTTGGATCTTGCTGCTGCGTAGGCGCTCTATAAGAAAACCTTGCTTCAAAAGATTCAATGTGGATTTTTTGATCTTTGAGCTTTTTCTCTTGTTGTAAACGTAGATCTTCTGTTTGCTCAACTAGCACCTGCTCAGCCATCACATGTACCTTATGTCTTGTTTCAACATCCATTTTCCGTGGTTCCAGGCAATCGAGTAGCTCTGATAATAATGATAAAAGAGTTTTTTCTGTTTTGCGAATAAAACAGTGGAAAGCTTTTTAGGGATTTCTTTAATCCAAAGAAAGGTGAATCAAGAAATAGGAGATAGTACAAAGGATGAAGAACCACATCGAATGAACCTAGACTTGCTGCCAAAAGAATCAATGGCGTAGGAAAGAGAAAGATGATAAAGGAAAGATATTCTTTAATTACTTTTTACAAAATGCCAAAGTTCAATACATAAAGCAGAAAACAGCAATGGTCTAACATGTGACCTTGTTGGCCAAGAAAATCAAAATACAAACCATATAAGCTACTACATTGAACTGAGTATAACCAGTCAATGGTTATTTGAAAATGCAACAGAAATAGATAGAGGTGATAAGTATGATATTCTATCACATTTAAGTTCTTAACATGAGATCAAAAAATGCAGGCAAAGAGGGCAGGATCAGTTTTTAGCTGTATGACATGATCAAGTGTTATCCAAGCGTAATGTAGAAACCATCAAATATTTCAGCATAGCAGTCAAATATGCTTTTTTTTCCTTTTTCTTCAGCTGTAATCATATTCATGAGAGTTTTGAATCCTGATTTCATCACTTTCTTTTTCTTTATTAGGGAGTGTTAAGTCATTTATAAGCATGCCATGCTTCATGTCACATGCAAGCACACCTACAAAAGTAAGTGTGGCTAGAGGCTTGATGGAAGATCTTGTCCGTATATCTGCAGGAATTAAGGATGTTGATGATTTGATCTCTGATATCTCCTTTTGAAACTGGTCCTGTCTAGCTTCAATTTGAGAAACATTGTTTTCTAGTATCTTTTTTTTTGTATTTTTCATAGGTTCTTGAAGTAAGAATTTATGTAAGTAACCAACTGATTTCATTGGAAACAGAGTCCCTCTGAACTATATTCCAAGCATCTTCTATGATGGTACAAATCAAACTGAAACACTCTCTTCTTCTGCCTTCTAAAACTTGCAGAATATGTCACCAAGGGCCAGTGATCCGACCAAGACCCATGTTTTGCATGTGGATGCACTCAGAAGAGAGATAGATAAATATGGAGATGTGATAATTAGTGTGACTAAATCAAGCAATCTTACTGCATTAAAAGGTTAACCTCAACAAATTCAAGTAAAATACTTATCAGATTCTTAAAACCCTTATCAACTAGAACTTTATCTACAAGAAAGATCCCATTTTGATCATACCGTGGATAAGATCTTGATACCTAAACGTATGAGTTTTCAGTTTATTGATAGAGGGTCCTGAATTATTATCCAAGGAAGAGGATGAGGTGGGTGAGCAAAAGCATCTCTAAATATAGTAAATAATAGTTGTATTTCATGAATATCTTAAGACTGAACTGTGTGAGATGTGTGTTCTCTAATTGTTCCTCTTTTAAAGTCTTTACCGAGAATCTTAACAGATAATCTTATATCTTCTCTGGATGAGGCACCATGAAAGATTTTTTTTTGTCCTTTAAAGGTCTGTTTGATCCTCAATGAGCTTTTCTACTACTCTAGCTGCAAAATTAGGGTTTTCAATATCTTTACAAGAAATAATAAACAGTGGAAACAATGCTTTTGGTCTAATAGTACATATAGTTTGGTCCTTTCAATAATGAAGTTTAAAGCAGTGAATCTTTATGCAGCTTAGTCTCGCACTAAACTTTGAATATATAATATGTAATAGTAGAAATTTTAAACCCTATAATTTAAACTATATTTTATACACGACACTCTTTATCTTTATCGTAAAATATATCCCCTAAAACCTAAAAAATTTCAGCCATTCCTTACATTTTTAAGATTTGTAATTTTTTTTGTTTTGATATTATGATTTTTCTGTTTTCAAAATTGCTTGATATATACTCTTATGCTTGTTTATGTCAATCATATTTTTTTTTGTTAGACCATGATTAACGTAATATTTTTGCTGAGGTTCTTATGAATATTTACTAATAAATTTAATCAGATGATATACTTTTAGGTAAGATACGTCTTTTGTTTTAAAACCTTAAGAGACGGTTTCTAGTTTCACATGGCAATTTAATAGTATAAAAATGCCTAAAAAATTCGTAAGCGTATCCAGCGATAATCATACTCTTAAAAAAAAGTTATAAGTATTGTGAAGAAAAAAAAAAGCTATATCTTTAAAGAATCTATAAGCATTTTTTTTTTTTGGTTAAAGAAGCTATGAGCATTTAATTTCTCGTTTGATGATTCTGTTATATCTTTACATAAGTTTTCACTTTCATTTGTCCGTGTTCTTTTTTTTTTTTTTTGTAAATATTGACAAAATTTGAACCGTGCGTGTCATCCTTGCGGAGAGGCGGCCATGCTAATCTTCATTTTCTTGTTATGATCATAAACCATAATTAAGAAAAAATCAAATTGAATAAACACAAATTGGATCCAAAAATACGGTTGGGACTTCAGAACATTTATGGCGGCATTCAATTGAATTGATTGCCACGCATTTTTCCAATACATACCCCATATAAAAATACATTTAATATGTCGCAAAAAAAAGAAAATATTTAATATAAAATTAACACATAAACGAAAAACTCTCTCCAACACAATCTGTAAATCATCTTTCCATGTTTCTCTGTTACCATCCTTTTCGTTCCCTTCTAAAAAAGCACCTTCAAGGCTTCAACTAATCCCTTTTCCAAAATAAATAATCTACTCTCCTCAACATAAAAATAGGACAATTTTCTTTTATTATTTTTCTTCAAAATATGGGAAACGAAGCATCTCTTAGATCGTCAATGGTAGGCCTTGCAGTGGTGATGGTATTTGTATGGTTATGGACACAATCTTTCAAGAAGACGGTCGTTACTTACGCCGTCGGTGTTTCTCTGATCGGCGGCATAGTTTTGCCGGATTGGGACTTCTTTGATCGGAATTTCTCCCGGTGGAGCTACCCTGTCACGGCGGAGGAAAGAGCCGCCGCTCTCTCCCGCAAATCTCAACCTTCGAGGTTACTTATATCTTATTAGTTTATATATATATATATATATATATAGAGACTTAAATTGTTAGATCCAAATTATTATGTATCCTAATAGTTAGTGTAGTTGTCGTTGATGTCGTTATGTCATTATTCAGGTTCAATCATGTGAAATGCAAATCGTTGACAAACAAACAAAAAATTGTTAGATTTAAATTTTGGTTAAGGTTAATGTCTAAACCCTAATGAATAAATTTGTGGAACATATAACAATAACGTACAAAGTTAGGTTCCAATTTATAATAATGTTTATATAGTAGCTACATATTAGGTTCTACAAGTTAACGTATATATATGTGATGTGATGATTGAATATATTTTTGTTTCTATGTGACATACATGTAGCTGGTTTAGAGTGTACCCTATGAGGATGGTTGTATACGGTGCGGTCTACGGATATGCAGTGTATAGGTGGTGGATGTTCGTGTCAAATTGAAGCCCTTTTGTATTAATCGTAAACCTTTCTGTATGTTTGAGTGTTGATTAACAAATTATGTTAACTTTTTCTCGATCTTTCATATGTAATTCATTTTGATTCTCGAATAATTTGGAAGACACACTTAAAAACAAAAGAAAAAATCATGAAAGACCCACCAGAGGTCATGATTGGTGTTGAGGGGTGTTGTGTTGGGCTCAGGGGTGTTTGGTGTTGAGGGGTGTTCAGTGTTGAGGACTTTATTCTTTTGGAAGTTTTAAAAGTCAAAATTTTATCAAATATGCTTTTATTTATTTTTTTCTTTCTCTAAGACCATCTTTAACCATAGGTTTTAAAATTTTGGTCAAAGTTCTCAAAATATTATATAAAATGAAATATCTTAAAAGAGGAGAGAACTCTTAAAAATAGAGAGAAAAGTTCTAAATTAAGAAATTATAGATACCCTCTCTCCTTTTTTAGAAACCTTTTTAATATTTTATTATTATTATTATATACATACAATTTAAAAACTACTACTAGAACTCTCCATTGGAGATGGTCTAAAGTCTCAACTGTTATTTATTTTTCTTTTTTTTCTAACTTTCTAAAATTCACCTTTAAAAATTTTTTTTTTGTCCACAATCCATTTTTTAATTAAGCTACATTGGTGGAACTTTTGGTTAAAAAGCAAAATTTTTTACGGTTTAATTGTACAATAAAAAACTGAAATAAAAGCTCCTACCAAGCAACTCTACATATTGGTGCCAATAGTAGAGAGAGCAAAACTGTGAATTGGAGATTTGTCAAGTTGTACTTAAAACTTTGAAGCAAAAAACGTAGAACTAGAATATCTTTGAGAAGTGCAAACAATTATTTTTTTTATCATTAACGTTATTGTCAAATATTTCGCCGAAAACTAATAGACTATAAATTCAAAATATTGTATTTTACAATGATTTATTTCTAGTTAAATTTATACTGATTTAAATGTACAAGTATGATCTAGTAAAAAATTACTACAAAGTGATCACAAAAATAATTGAGGGTTAAATCCAATGGTATTAATGTGACAGTTATGGTACTTTTGAATTATATAGTTGCAGAAGCAGTACAAGTATAAATGTCAAACACAATCATTTCTTTCTCTTCTTCCTTACCACACACGAGCATCTTTAATTGAAAGCAAAAAAAGAAAAAAAGAAAAAAATTCATTTTTTTGTTGGTGTCCAATGAACAGTTTTAACAAAATTTAGATTTTCATTTCTTATTTTTTTCTTTACCCCAAAATGGTAAAGAACAATGGTTCCAGTTACGGGGGGTTCAATCTAGATATCGTTTCTTATTTTTTTCCGGTTTAAAAGAAATAGCTATTATATTAAATTCATATCTATATAATATGGTTTGGTTTGTATACTCTCAGTTTTTTATTTTTTAGGTTTATACCAAAAAAATATATGTTTGGTAATTCTAAATTGAATGAATTTCGATATGATACCAATAAAAAATAAAAAAATAAATTGAATTGCTTTATTTAAACTTATAATTAAGTTAATTATATTATTCTATATTATGGTATATTTAGACTTTACATATTAGATTTTGAAATTAAATATATATAAGTATTCATAATAATATATATAGTGTATACTATATACTATTATATTAGAATTTAGAACTAATCAGTTTTTTTTGTTCTATCGGTTTAATCGGTTAATATCTAATTATCGTACGATATTCAAAAAATTACATCCATTTGGTTTATTCGGTTTTTATAGTATAATCGAAACCAAACCATATTGCTCTAATTCGGTTCGGTTCAGTTTGGTTTTTAACGGATTGAACACCCCTAGTTCCAATACTTTCAAGTGAGTTAATCATCATTGTTAACAAAAAAAAAATTGAGGTTAGAGATAAACTACAAGGAATTGGCATATGGCTAAAAAGTTTTCATTTGATATCCCAAAAAATACCCAAAAAAAAAACTCCTAGGGACTCTTAATGCACACTTTACAACCAATTTCTATTCCAAATCAAAGATCTTTGGTTAAAAGTTGACAAACTTCTCAAACTTCCATATAACTAATGCTTTATTTTACCCTTCTGAGGTCGAAAATTAGAAAATAAAAGGCTTAGGCTGTTTCACAAGGAGTAAGAGGAGGAGGAGGAACACCAAAAACCCAATCCAGGACGTTCAAATATTTCGATCGAAATACCTCTCTTTCCTGCGCGTAACAGTGCATTATAATGGCTGTAGAAACGCTGAACACAACCACATCTGCTCTTCTCAGACTCTTGGGCGGTCGAATGTATCCTGCATCTGTCATGCAAGTGAAGAAGCTCTCTATTGCCCTCGCTAAGCAGTAGAGTGATATCTCTATCCTTCTGCTTTTCTTTTCAATTGCTAAAGCCAGACCTGTTGGGAACTGCGGATAAAAAAAATGTCTCGGCTTAGGTACAATATTGATGCTACATGCATATATACATGTGATATGTTAATGGACTGTACCGTTGCTATAGCCACTAGCGGTATGTTGCATGTCTCAAAAGTCCGGAAAAGTAGGCAAGTCCAAACCCTAGTTTAGATAATTGTAGAGATGCTATAAGTTTCGGGAAACAGCTCAATGAATGCCACCAAAGCTAAGGTAACATGATATGTAGAGCTTTTCAAGATTCGATTCTAACCAGGCAGAAGTGCAGTACGTAGAGAGAAACAAACTTGATCTCGCCGTGCCTAGAAGACCCTTGCCAAGTATAGAGTATTGCCTGTGAGATTTGGAATGAAAGATTTTATGAGGTGATGAATAAAATCAGCATACAGAAGTTAATATCAATTAACAAGCAATTTACTTTTTTAGCAGGTCTTGACGATGGACTATTAACGCTGGAATCAAGTAGACAGGGACATAGACAGGTAGAGCCCTCTTGTAAGCTTGAAGGAAAAATGTAATACCATGCTTAGTACACGACTCTTTCCCATGTATTATCTACAAGAAACATCATAACTATTGAGTAAAGCTTTTCTAGACGATTGTAGCATCAATAAGAATTAAGATTGCAGAATCATTGAAAAGAAGAATCGGTGATACAAGGAGAGGAAAAGACAGAGATGCTTTTGCATATAATTAACTATGCAGTTTCAGATAGTTATTGCTCTCTAAATTTCCAATTTTGGTTTCGCAAACAAATGCTCTGTTCCTTTTTAAAAATAAAGAAGGAGGCAAGTATATAAACCTACCGAACAGGGGACTTTCATGTTAGGATCTAGTTTGATATCAACTCCAACAGACTTGTAATATTTCTCAATTGCTCTTAAATTGGTGAATGGTTTGGCGCTTGCGATATCTTTTACGCCTTGTAATATAGAAAGATCCTTCCCACCTTGTTTGTTAAGGAAAGACTTGTACGATGAAGGAAGGCTTTCTTGCGATAAAATGTAAGCAGACCTGAAAAAACACACAAAAATTGAGCAAGATGAATAAAAAAAACAAGAACTTCAAAGAACCTAGTAACCACTGAGCAAGATGATCAAAGCTAGTAACTCAGCTTCAGTATTCAAACGCCTAATAACTTTGTAGAGTAAGAGAGAGAACATACAAAATCTGTGAAGAAGAGAGACACATGAGAAACAAGTCCCCGTGTTTCCAAGTAAGCGGCTTGCAGATGGAACCAAACCGTTTGCTTTTGATGCCGCACCGCGACGCGAGAACCGCCGCACGCATCAATATGTAAACAGCCAAACTCGTGTGTGTTGTGTTTGGCCCTGTGAGAAGCATCGATGGACCAGCCACCAAACCAGCAAACAGGGCCCTCCACTTTGCAGTTCTGGATTCAGACAAAACACTTCACTGTCTGATCAAAAGTGATGATTCCCATACTTAAATCTGATGAAGATTGATAACTAATTTGGTTAATCGAAATTAAAAATTAACAAACAAAATCAACATGCCTTTGGTGTCCTGCCAAAGCACAAATAGCTTCATCAACGGAAACAAAAGTACCAGCAAAAGTTCCTAAGAACAATCCATATCTTAATGTCTCCTTAATCCCCATGGCAATAGCTTCACTATTCGAGAAATCACCGATTTTCCTAAATCCATAGATTCCAATTAATCAACGATAAATCAGAAAAATCAGAAAAGAAAAAAAAATCCAAATTCGTAATCTCGATTCCGGTTTTCTCACTCTACCTTGATTGAGAAGAAGATCTACGGCGAGCGAAACGAGCTACGATTGAGAAAATAGCTAATCCACCTTTAATCCCGGTACCTATGGAGAATCCTTTGACGGAAGCGACGATGATTCTACGAAGCTTCTCCGAATCATCCGATTTTGATCCAAACGAAGAAGACGAAGAGAAAGAGGAAGAGAGATCGGGTTTAACCGAATCGGACCCGTTGCAATGTATGCATGTTGTAAGGTCAAACGACTCACCGGAATCGTCGCCGGCGATTCCATCGATTTCACCGCGGATGCATGAACAGCGAGAACCGTTCGCCGTCCGGCGAGACGGCGACATGACGTCGGCGAGGATTAGGTTTTCTCGGATTGCGCCAAAAAGTGATAGATGATAGGTAAGCTTTGGTGGGAAATTGGAATTGGGTTTTGAAATAAAAAATACCAAAGGGAAGAAAAGAGAAAGCTAAGAAAGTTATTTGAGAGTGACGAAGACAACAAATACAGCGAATCAGATTTAGAGCCACTAAGGATTATCCAGGTGTCAGAAAATGATTGACACGTGTCAGCTGGTTTTTCGTTTTTTTCTTTTCGGTATGAAGAATCAGAGAGATTCTTCTGTCTCGGTAAACGTCACAAGGCACAACATTATAATGGAAGTATGGGTTATGAAAGCTATGGGCTTATATCATGGGCTTGATAGCAAGTATCCACTATTATAATAATATTTTTTTAATTATTTTTTATATTATTTAAAAATATATTTTGATTTTATTTTTTTTTTTATATATATCATATCTGTTGATTCAGATATTGTAGAAATACACCGAAGTGGTACCGGGCTTTTCTTCGGTTCAACAGTTTATTTATGAATTTTAAGTGGACTCAGATCAATAGGTTATAAGATCTATGAGATCTAACGGGCCATCACACTACTTATCTCGAGTTTAGAATACTTTACAACTAGTGTCCAAAATAGTTGGATCACGGAATATCAAGTAAATTGTTTGAATTTTAAACCTAGACTCAAATTTCTGAGATAAATGTGATTTTTATTTTTAGAAAGTTTTGAATAGAGAGAAAGTGTTGTAATACATTCTCACATTTTTCTTACTACTAGACATAAATGTGCGGACAAAATACATGATTGTATTATTTATTTATAAATTAGGAATTAATCCACATTGTAGCGCGAAATGTTTTTTTTCATCTTCAATTAAATAAAATTATTAAATGAAATTATTTTGTAAAAATATTTATTGGTATAAACTTTACAAACTATAGTGCTTTTTTTTTTGCTTAATTCCGAAAAATGAGTTAAAACGTTAGATATTATTGGTTTTATCTGAATTGAAAACACATAATCATTAATGTGTCAAATGTTTTCAAGATATGTTTGTTATTTGCAAAACCCAAAACTCATCCTACAAATTAATAATTAGACCTTTTCGGATAAAAAGAAAACAAATTTGATTGACAATATAGAAAAAATCCCGACAGAAATTTTAGAAAGAAAGTGTCTAACATGAGAAAATAAAAGAGTTTTTGTTTCGTTATGGATTTCTCCCTTGCAATATTTTAATCAGAAATCTAATCTTTATTTGGAGTCTATTTCGATATTGCTTACTGATTTGTATCTTTCCTGGAAATCATTTTCTTCTATATTGTTGTAATATTATTTTCTAATAAAAAGCACTAATATATTTACTAACATATTTTATGAGATATACATATTTGTAAGGTGTAATATACTAATTCTTCTAAACCCTGCTATACAAACAAATTGTATTGTGTTAAATATTAATTTTATTAAAGTGTTTTTATTTTGTTGTTATGATCCGTGTGTTAAGAATTTCATGTCAAATTACTCGTCCATATTATTCACTAATTATCTCTATATTTATTTGAGTTTTCTATATATTTATAAGATTCATTTATATATATAATATCTTACATAGAAAAATTCATTTATATAAATACTTCATGTAATATCTTACAGATAAAATTTCATTTACGTAAGTGACTGCATAAATGATAGTATAGAGAAATAACATAATATAATTAGAAGGCATGTATGATAATTTTACAATTTCAAATATATAGTTATTGGAACCATCCTATTATTAATTTATTATTTCATAATAGTTGTTTAATACATCATAATCAATAGTATAATAACACAAGTGTTTTTTTCTATATGATGTGATAACATCATTTTTGTGCTTTGAAGATGACATCTCATAACAAAAATTCATTAAAATAAAACCAATCAAAATATTGAATTTTTTTAATCATTCTGAAATGGCCTCATGTCCGAAAATACTATTGTTTTTAATGCATTCTGTTTGAATTTTTGATAAAAATTGTATTCTCTCAAATTATCTTCTTTCGTAGACGATAACCAAAGGAAATATATATGCATTAAACTAATTTTCTCCCAAACAATGATTCCTCGTCTCTCTTTCCTCTAAATGTCTCCCCGATTTCAGGATTAACCCATTTTTCTTCTGTGATCAAGGTTCTTTACAATGCAAAAAATAATGGCGATAAATTTGACGCGGATGAGAAAAAAAATAATGTCTGATTTTGTAAGTGACAGAGTTTAAGCTGATTCCGAGCAAACTTCAACAAACACATCAAAACCATAAACTAAGCAACAATATATATACAAGCTTTCATGATCCGACAGGATCTTCTCACAACAAGGAATGCTTATTACTTCTTTAAACATTCTCGTGAATTAAAACAAGGGAATATCCTTTCGTAACATGGAACTTTAAGACACTCATTTCGTAGGCAATCTCGTCTAGGATCTAGAGTAAAGCCTCATTTTGATTCTCCATCGAACAATGAAATTTTTTTGTGTAGTACAGTAGTAAGTTATTTTAAAAAATCTCTTCATTTGTGAAGTGCTTGAATTTCTTGACAAAGAGAGAAGAAAATGTTGTATCTTCTTATTCCATCAATCAACCAAATGTTTATATATATACACGACAGACGGCACTAAGATATATTAACATAACCGAAGATATAGAAAGTATATTATACGATATTTACATAAGACTTCCTAATACTTCCCCTCAAGTTGGAGCATGTAGATCATGTATGCACAACTTGCACCTGAGATAAGTAAATTGTTGAGAACCCAACACCTTAGAAATGTCTGTGAGTTGCTCGGTAGTACGAATATGCACAGTAGCAAGTGAGCCATCGAGAAATTTATCTCGTACAAAGTGACAATCCGATTTGATGTGTTTTGTTCTTTCATGAAAAATCAGATTAGCTTAGATCTAGAAAGCTGACTTATTAGCACAATGAAGGTGTGTTGGTTGCTTATGATGGATACCAAACCAGGAAAGGAGTTTACGGTTCCATTTCAACTCCCTTATAGTGAACCCTATCGCATGATATTCTGCCTCCATCGAAGAATATGAGACCGTATCCTGCTTTTTCATCTTCCATGCGACAGGAGAGTTCCCTAACATAACAATGAACTCCGTTAATGATCTTAGAGTCATAGGGTATGCAGCCAAGTCGGAGTTGCAATACGCTGTTATTTGTAAGTCAGAGTTTGAGCTTAAGAAAATTGTCGTGAGCTTGCGGCCCATGCAAAAAATATGCAATTCAGGGCCGGCTCTGTTCACAACTCTTGTCGCTGCTTCCCAATGCTTAGCGCGAGGTTTCTGCATAAACTGAGCAAGCATATGGACAGCATAGGACAGTTCTGGGCGTGTGTAAGTAAGATATACCAATTGACTGACCAACCTACGATACCTCTCTAGATCATGAAAAAACTGTCCTTCGTCCTTGGCCAGCTTGTGATTTTTTCCATGGGAGTAGAAACAGGTCTGCTACCCAATAATAAACACTCTTTAATAATGTCCAATGCATACTTTCTCTGCGACAAATAAAACCGTTCAAGAGACCATGAAACCTTAAGACCAAGGAAGTATTTCAATGGTCCCAAATCTTTCATATGAAAACATTGGCTGAGATATCCGTTGAACTTCTTGATAGCCTCGGGATCATTACCCCCAATCAATAAATCATCAACATATATAAGGACATAGAGTCGCATGGAGCCACACACCAAACAAACAATGAATAATCTGGTATTTTTTTAAAGAATCCATACTCTTGCAGCGCAACCGTTAGCTTTGCGAACCAACATTTTGGCGCTTGACGAAGACCATATAGTGACTTTCTGAGGCGACACACTTTTGTTTTATCTTTATATTGCAAGCCATGTGGTAACTTCACATAAACTTCCTCATGTCAATCTCCATGCATTATGCATATCCTTTTGATGAACCGCTCATCCTTTAACCGCAGAAACCTTGAGAAACATACAAACAATGGTCATTTTTACAACCAGAAGAAAAGTCTCATAATAGTCCCACTAGAAGAATTCACGTATTTAGCAACATCATATATCATCGCTAAACAGTCGGTAAAGTCCAAGTTACGACTGATTTACGACTAAAATCTTGTGTCGGTAATAATTCGTCGCAAATAAGAGCAATCGTGATACAGTCGTAAAGTTACGTCTACATCACGACAATTTTACGACTAACACAAAACGTCGGGAAACAGTAGCAATTTAGTCGTTAACTTTAACGACTAATGAACGACCAATTTAGTGACTAAGTTACGACTGAAATGTAGTCGTAACAAAGTTTGAGAATATAGTTTGTAGATCAGTCGTTAAATATGGCAACTTTTTTATGACGGCTTAACGACAACGATAGCGACTAAGTTACGACTGGTACTTAGTCGTAACAAACTTTGAAAACGTAGTAGTACATCAGTCGTTAAATATTGTGACTTTTTTACGACTGATTTCTGACCAAGACAGCTACTAAATAACGACGGTTTGACGACTGACACATAATCGAAATCGAAAATTGTTTGCAAATTTACGACTGTTTTGTGACTGATTCCCGACTAAGTAACGACTGATTTACGACTTCCTTGCCACTAATTTTAACAACGTAAATACGATTTGGTATTGCTCTTTCCAGTTCTAATTTGGTAACCTGAATACAATAATTTGTTAAAAGGCATTTTGAAGTCTTTAAACATGCTAAACAAAAACCAAAAAACATATGAAACATATAATATACAAAAAGGTTATACAATGTTCACCATCATACCAAAATAAACTCCAATGGTTACAATATACAACCATTGGAGATAAGTTCTAAATAATGCTAACAAACATATGGTTCGAGAGACATAAAGAGAGAAGAGTCCTAGAGGAACCTACTCTTCTGGGGTGTGATGAGAGTTTTGATTCTGTGAATTGATCGGAGCAGCAGTTGGTGGATTGTTTGAGTTCGGATCAGCAGTGCTCGACACAGTTGTTTGAGTAGCCAAAAAGTCATTGAACCTTGGATCAGTTTCAGTCAAGTACCTTTCAACCAGTGTGAATTTCTCG